TATATTTAATCAGAAAAAAGGATAAAAACGTTGAGAACACAGACAACGGGTTCAGCGGTTAATGAGTTATTGTTTTGTCACAAAAACTATTGAAATATAAGATTAAAAACTGTTTTACATTTGATTATAATTAAAGAGAAAATGCGATACAATTTGTAATGAATTTAATCATCAATATTAAGAGCATATATCAGACGTGAGTGGTCTGTGGGACAGACACTGGGAAAGGGATAATCGGAAGGAAAGGGGTTTCGAGGAAATTGTCAGAAATGGATGTGTTTTGGGCGATGAGTGTTGGCTCAGAATCCGTGGACTTTGAGTTGTTCTGGTTTCGCGATTTGCACTTTGGTTAAGAACTGGCAAATGTTGTTCCGCTGATCGCCCTGTAGTTGAATCACTTCTCCATACTCCGGGTGCTCTACTACTGTCCCATTACACGCGAACTCCTGTCAACCATTGCACACACAGACAGACACCCGTTAGACACCCGTTAGACACAACCACTACAACACACCGAACGAGCAATCAGTGGCTAAAGCCTCGCACTTAAGACACGGTGCCATCACTGACACAGTCATCAGTAGTGACCGACTTTTGGCAACTCATTGACCGCATGGTGTGTCCATTGAGAGCACCGGCATCTGCAGCCATACATACCTTCTTGCATGCCTTGACAATCTTCTTCTTGTCGTAATTGTCGGATATTCCCTGAACTGTAGTCAAAGTCTTCCTACCGTTCCTCTGTTGGATGCGGATGTGGATCAGCCCGTCCTGAACGCCACTGTCGTCGGCATTTACATCGGCGAAGGGATCTGACCATCAGTTCACGTAATAAGACAATAATGCAGTCATTAGTCACATATTCATTGCATTCAAGTCATTGTCGTTGTCTTCAATGCAATCATCTCTTAAACCACTACTCAATGAATGGTGTGTTTGAAGACAACGACCATCACGTGTGTGGACACAAACAGATCAGCGGAAGACTCACCAAATGTTTTGAGGTTTTGAATGCCACCCGAAGACATACGACTGACCACTTGTTTGGGTAATGAATACCGCAATCAATAAATAAATGAAAAAGTGGTCCAAAAGTGGTGTTCAACTGGATTTGTGTATCGTTTGAATGCTTTGAACGCGTAATCAAAGCGTGTATTGAGTGCTAAACCACTGAATGATTGAATGAGTGCTCAATACGTGTGAATGCCTCAGAAAATGGCGCAATAAGTGACACATTGGACGCAATCCTCCCCTCAATCGCAGTGCCAGTGAAGGGAGGGTTCACTCCCTTAACACTTATATGCCTTCAAATCATCTAATATTTACGAAATGTATTCAAAATATCATTTAATGAGTCATTCATAACTAATAAAACTGTAAAACAAAGTTTAAATGCAATCGTTTTCATTTGGTTTAGCATTAAAAGTGCCGGTAATTGAGAGTAGGTTTCCCTCCCATTGGGTCAACACTAATGCAAACGAAACGCATGGATGACAACAAACTATCCGCAATCAATAAATAAATCAAAAAGTGGTCCAAAAGTGGTCTTCAACTGGATTTGTGTATCGTTTGAATGCTTTGAACGCGTAATCAAAGCGTGTATTGAGTGCTAAACCACTGATTGATTGAATGAGTGCTCAATACGTCTGGCAATCTTAGCACAAATGCCTCAGAAAATGGCGCAATAAGTGACACATTGGACGCAATCCTCCCCTCAATCGCAGTGCCAGTGAAGGGAGGGTTCACTCCCTTAACACTTATATGCTTTCAAATCATCTAATATTTACGAAATGTATTCAAAATATAATTTAATGAGTCATTCATAACAAATAAAATTTTAAAACAAAGTTTAAATGCAATCGTTTTCATTTGGTTTAGCATTAAAAGTGCCGGTAATTGAGAGTAGGTTTCCCTCCCATTGGGTCAACACTAATGCAAACGAAACGCATGGATGACAACAAACTA